AGAGGAAATGGTGAAAGAGGGGAAAGTGAGATGCCCCCTGCAAGTCCATGCAGGTCCCCCACTTATATTGATTAAAAACAAAGCATACTGAGGTTATACTTGTTGCAGTTAAAAAAGAAAGTAAAGAAATTACTTGCTTTTGACCTGTTGCAGATACCAGTCCTATGTAAGCTATTTTGGGGCTGCAATTTTAAGAACACTTTTCTGGACAGGTTCTTTTGAAATCAGTGGGGTTACTCCCAAGAATGTGTGTTTATGGACTGGGGTACAGACTGGCTTAAATCTAAGTACTCGGGGCAATTGGCGAATGGAGTCACTTGGCAAAGTCAAATTTTTAAAGAATTATATAGATTCAAAAATTCTGCACTGAGTAAAATCAAGTCTCCAAAACTAAGCCACACAGTACAAAGCCAGTTTGGTGTAGTGGTTAAGTGCGCGGACTCTAATCTGGGATAACCGGGTTTGATTCCCCACTCCTCTACTTGCACCTGGCTGGATAACCTTGGGCAAGCCATAACTCTGGCACAGGTGTTTTTGAAAAAGAGCAGTTTCTGTCAAGAGTTCTCTGAGCCCCGCCTACCTCACAGGGTGTCTGTTGTGGGGAGGGGAAGGGAAAGGAGTTTGTAAGCCGCTCTGAGACACCTTTGGGTTGTGAAGGGCGGGGTATAAATCCAATCTCCTCCTCCTCTTCTATTTTTTTTTTACGTTGTTATTTTAATTTTTTTTTGGAGGGGGGAGATAATTACTTTAGAAAAAGAAAACAGATAGAAACATTTGAGCAGGGGGGGGAACCCCACTGTAATGGAAAATGCCCAAAGTTCTCCAGTTTTTTAAAAATAAAAACCTTCAATCGTGTCACTATAAAATAAGCCTTGCACTTTTGATGAAAATTAACGCTAGTTTTGTAAAGAACACATTGGGGGACTGCGGTCAAATCCTTATCTTTAGTTCCAGTCAACTAGCAATCCTGAAAGAGTTTGCATCGTCATCAGAGGGGGCCATTTGATAGGATTCTAACTGCTGAAAAAAAAAATCAATCTATGGAATACTGTGGCAGCGCCATGTAACAAAGCTAAAATAGATTTACAAATGGGGTTTTAGGGGATAAGCTCCTCCACAGGATTACATATTGATTTTAAATATAAAAAAGCTTATCATATAAACCATAACTACAAAAATAGTGAACCTATGCATAAATCCTTTTAAGAACGAGCACCCATTTCAAACTCGGAGCCAAGAATGAATCAAGATGTACAAAAAATTTCTAAAGGAGATCCATTTCTCAGCCGGGGAAAATAAAATGCACACCCAACAGCCCCCCTCCCCGAGTGTGTAAAAAGCAAGCTTTATCTTCCTAAGGAGGCATTAAATTTGAACAAGAGGGGTGGATGCATACAAGGAGTATGTTTTTTAAGTCCAAAGAGCCTCAATACTCAGCTGGCCGCCTGCGGTATGCATCTGTGTCAGCTTGATTCTGCATGGGTTTTTCGGTTTGTTTATGGAAAGCAGGTAAGAGAAACACGGGGGCTTCCCGGCCCCCCTTTGAACATATAACCAGATAATACGTAGTATATTATTTGCAAAAACAAAACAAAAGGTCCGTGAC